CTTCAAAGAACACAGGGCAATCACAGTGTTAAAAAGTGGAACATGTATTTCAAAAAAGCAAAATGAAGAGAGCAAATAATATCTGTATTAAAGCCAGAGTGTGTAGACATAGTTAAACACATGTAAAACACTTTTAAGTTGTGTGTTTGTGTTACAATTAACTTGAACATTGCAGTTACCAATGAAATTACTCACACAAGCACAAATTTCGACAGTTACAAACTAATATCTCTGAAGTGTATTTCGCAATGAAATTTGAAATTGGCTGTAAAAAAGTAATACTCTATTGTCTGCATTAAACAGGATAGCTGCCATCTTGTGGCAACCATTGCATGTATTTGTTCAGTACTTTTATAGCATAAGGTATTTCAGTAGTATGTTTTTATCAAAGAAAGAGGGAAGATGTGAAGCTTCAGACCAAAGCTTCTTTCCACCTGTAGTGCCTTGACATCTTGTCGTTTCTCTGTAAATTTGTCGTCTACACTGATGTAACAGCCCTTGGGTAATTTTGGCATATTATGCAGTAACATTTTGTTTATATGAACAGTCCTGTAATAAGAATAAAAATAAAACAATGATTAAAAAAAGCCACACCTGTAGGTGCAGAAGCAGGGGAAGGTCCAGCCCTCACAGAAGAAGAACCGGCTGAGGAAGAAGAAGCAGCAGCAGCAGCAGCAGCAGCAGCAGCAGCAGCAGCAGCAGCAGCTCAGGCCAAGATGTCTCACCTTGTGTGGTGGTGGCAGTATCTGCGCCAGAAGAAAACAAGAAATACAATTATTTCATATCATGTGTACATTGCGCTTATGACATTTATATGTACATAATAATGTACATTATTATGTACATTTAAATGATTTGTTCATATGAAAGGGAAAAGTGAAATTTAACACAACACATGATCAAGATCTATCCTGGTTTGAAAATAGCCAATGCCTATTTTCACCTGGCCATGATGTTAAGAAAGCATTAAAAGAAATGCATACACAGAAAGCAATATAAATGTAAAAGTCAGCAAAATGTGGGTAATAGAAAGGAAAGAAATTTTCCAACTGTTCGAGGTCTCTGTGTGCTGCATGACACCGACCTTCAGCACCTGACAGCCCTGCTGCTGCTGCTTCCTCTGGCTCTTCTTCTGGGTGGTTGTACCCTGTGGTCTGCTCCTCCTCGGCCCTTCGCCTTGGCATGTTCCCGGAGCTGTCACGGGGAGTGATGTAGGGCTCGAGGAAGGACATGACCACAAGGTACTTCCACGTCTGGCCTTTCCCTGCTTCTTCACCACTCTTCTTCACCTTCTCCTTCTCCTTCCTGCTCTCCTTAGCATATGTGTCCCTCAGATTCTTCCACCGCTTTTTGCAAACTTCCACTGAATAAACACATCAACTCGTAAGCAGGAAAGTAGTAGTTTTTTTCGCGGGGAAATATTTACAACATTGAAAAGTTAAAATAACTTACCCGAGACACCAACCACCAACCACCAACCCTCCTCCAAGCAAGCTCCTTTTTATTTCGGTCCCGGTAGCTGTGGTCTGCAGTGTTATATAGCTCAGAATGAGCACCGACCTGAGCAATTAACGTGTCCTCCATAGCTGTCGTCTACCAGTGTTTTTCCGGTAGTGAAATGCGTCACTACGTCACTGGAGGAGAAAGCTCCTGATTGGTCGGCACACGCGAATTCTCCCAAAAAGTTCAACATTGTTCAACTCTAGCGGCGGCCGCGTTGGAGGCACGAATCGCGCGAAACGCGCGTCAAAACGCTTGACATCTCAAAACACGCCGCGCGAATCGCGCGAAACGCTCAAATTTGCGCCGCTCTGGCCGCGCGAATCGCGCCGCGTGATCTCTCGCCGCTCCTTGGCGCGCGTCCCCCATGTTGTGTCAATGTAGACCCGTCGCTTTGGCCGCAGAAATCGCGTTTGGTCTGAACGCACCATAACTCAGGATATTCAACAAAAACAAACACAAAGGAGACCAAAGGGAGCAGAATAAACACTGTCCAGAAATGTTAATAAATGTTGTGGATGATCCCTGTCCTTAGACCCTCCTGCTTCTTGAATTGCTTGAGAGACCAGAAAGAGTCCAGAGAGAAAGACTAGAAAGACACTAGAGAGAGGCTAGAAAGAGACAAGAGAGAGACCAGAGACCTGAGAGACCAGAGAGGGACAAGAAAGATCAGAGAGAGAGACAAGAGAAAGACAAGAGAGAGACCAGAGAGAGACTAGAGAGACGGGAGAAAGACAAGAGAGAGACTTGAAAGAGAGACCAGAGAGAGACCAGAGAGAGACTAGAGAGAGACTAGAGAGACTGGAGAAAGACAAGAGAAAGACTTGAAAGAGAGACCAGAGAGTGACCAGAGAGAGGCTAGAGAAAGACAAGAGAGAGACTAGAGAAAGACTAGAGAGACTGGAGAAAGACAAGAGACTAGAAAGAGAGACCAGAGAGAGACACTAGAAAGACACTAGAAAGGGAAACCAGAAACCCATAAAAAACAAAACAAAAAATAAAAAACTGTTATTCCAAGCGGTGAGGATGTGGCTGTGAAGTTAATAACTTACTCTTATTCCCATTGAATGTTCACTCAGATTTTTATAACAAAGGCATCTGATTGGTCATATCTGGATTTACAAAGACAACATAGAAGTTATATCATTTTAATGAATATTTAATGCATTGTCTTTAAATGTAACTGTGTTGTCAAAGTTCACTGTGATTAAGGTGAACTCATGTTAACAGGTCAATGGGTGACTTGCTAACCGTTGTCTTTCATGTTTGCATTGTTAATGGATGTCCATATGTCACTAGTTTGGGTTGTGAGAGGATTTTTGGGTTGTCAGGGTGAGATAAGACTGGAAACCTTTTTAGGCTAAAATGGTTGAACTGTGTGAACAAACTAATGGACCATATGGAATCTTTGGAGTGACAATAATGTGACTGTGATGTAGGTGGGTTTTTGTCTGAATAAATAAGCCTGTGACCTGAGGACTTCAGTGCACGCACGGCCACAGCACCAAGATCAGAGACCATGACCGTGACCATGAGTGTGCTCCTGGTGTTCCAAGTAAAAATGTATCCTTGTCTGTTGTGTTGTCTTTGTCCAGGCACTGTAGTTTATTACCAGCTTTAACAGTTAGCATTGTCCATCTGCATACAAAGAGACCAGAGATATACCAGAAAGAGAACAGAGAGAGAGTGTAGCTACGTCTAAAATTACATAATTACTGAATATTTGCGTGATTTGAGCCCATTTAGTCAGAAGCACTTGTCTCATTCCAAGTGAGTTATCACCTGTATTTCCCATTAGGATGAATTATCAAGATAAATATCCCCCAGTCTCTGTCGTACGGCCGTCTTTCTTTAGTCCTGGTCGAGGGTTGAGTTCAGTCCCAGTTTGTGTAAAAGTTGGAGCATCGCAGAGGAATGTAAAATGAAAGTGTTTGTGTTTATTATCTGAGGACATCCTGCTCTGCTCTGCAGACTTCTCACTGTGTGGAGACTTGTGACTGAGCTGTCGACATGTTTTCAAGTTCTGGTGTGAGGAAAACTGTGAGGCAATCTGCGTCTTTTGAAAATTGCTATTTACAAGTTTCTTCTTCATCTTATTAGAAAAACATTCTGTGTGCGTATGACATAAAGTGACATAGTGTGTCAATTTATTGGAAAATACCAAACTGTAACTTACCAAAAATAGTATCCCATAACCCATATTGATAAAAAGCACCGAATATTTAAAAATACTCATAATATAAAGAAGAACTACACACAATGATTTATGATCAAATGGGGGGGGGGCGGCCCCTATAACAAAACTACAATTAAAATGGAGCAAAAGTGCGCTTGAACTTGAATACAAAATGTCTTAAAGAAATGGACAATTGAAGATTTACCGTAGTCAGTCCGCCTTTCGACAGTCACTTTCTTTTTAGAAGAATCACAAAGAGGTTAGAGGCTTACAAGAAGCTTCAAAATTTAGCCAAGCACAAACAACCTCCTATCAACAACACAAGATGCTTAAGCCTTGGTAACCAACTTTCCTCGATGTTTGAGAAACAAAAAGATCCAAAATACAGTTTCAAATAAGTGGTTGGTGGGTATTGCCGACATCTTAGGGCTGAGTTTACAGGAGACAATGTGGCAGTAAACCGGTATAGTTGGATGTCCGTTGCTATGAGCTTGAGCTGTTTATTGTCTGTATGTCTATTATAAAAGTATATTGTGTGTTTATTAATACTTCCTATTTTTTCCCTGAGTATGAATTATGTTATAAAAATAAACTTGTCTTGCCTTAAGTCATTTTGCTTCTGACAAAACAGGAAGAAAAGGTTCCTCAGAAGTGAAACAAAACTGTCTTATCTGTCATTTTAGCCACAAACATGAAAATAAAAATGCATTTGAGGAACTTTTGTAAACGTTTTGTTTTTTCTAAACCAGACAGAAGTCAGAAAGCGACGCTATAACTTTTACCAACTTCATAGAACAAGCGCAAATCTTTGTTTTAGTCCAAAAAAAGTCAAAATACACTGCAAAAAGTTCTTCAATTAGAGGAATTGCATTTGTTTCAAGCACAAATAATCTGCCAGTGAACCAAGGTTTTCCACTTGTTAAGATTTCTGGAAACAAAACAAAAATATTATTAACAAATAATATAATCTTTAGAATCTGCATGAGTGAAAAAACAACAAAAATAAGTGTGATTAAATAAATACACTGACATCAAGTCTATAATTCTACTTTTTTCAGAGTAGAAAAGAAAACAATAATAATAACAATAATAATTGAATGAAGTGTTTTTTCTTGATTTGAGCACATTCTGAATAAACTACAGCTACTTTTACTCATGAATATTTAGGACCAGAATGAGGCGAGAGCACAGACAGTGGTTGTGTTGCTGTTGTGTTGCTGTTGTGGTGACATACTGCTGTATCTCAGACCTATGTGGTTTTTCTTCTGCTTCCCTTCTGTCAAACAGCCTCGTGCACGTCTCTGTGTCTGTTTCTGTCGGACTCATGGCTCGACCTCTGCTGCTCCTCTGCTGCTTACGTGAGTTTTAATTTGACATAATTTCAAACCTTCCTGTATTTGTGTTATTGTTAATGTCTCTCTTTGTAATGTACTGAGATTGCACCATGAGCTGGAGCTGGTCCTCGGACCTCAGGGCGCAGGGCGGGGGTGGTAGATTTGAGTGAGGTCCGAGACGTGCTGTGGGGCCAGTCCTTTCAAAGCTTTAAAAACAAACAATAAAATCTTAAAATCTATTCTAACATTAACAGGAAGCAAGAGCAAAGAATCTAAAATTCAATGTATTTTTGTACGATCCTAAATCACAACTGTAGTTTTCCCGGAGGACTTTACAAAGCTGTCGATTCGTCAGCACAGATCAGAGAATCAGAGCGTTCACAGGAAATGCAGTAATAAAATACACAGAGCCATTGATATGATGGTATGACCGAAGGTCCATAATTGTCGGTTATTTTTTGTTTTATTTTAATTAATTTTAATTGTGGCCTTGTGTATGAACGGTGCTTTACAAATAAGATTTTTTATCAGTTCTAGTTCATGCTGGACCCACTGTGCGATTTCTGGCCTGATTTTGTGGTTTTTCTTGGTAGAATTCCACCTCCAGAGAATCTCCCAATCCTCATAGGACCAGAAAAGTCTAAAGTCCTCCACCTGGGAGCTGCCTCAGTCCTACATCATGTTGGTCCTGCATCATGATTTATCTTGGCCCCAGGATGATATTAGATTAGTTTTTGAACCGGCCGCACCGACCCATGCAAAAATATTGGATTATTAATTTAATAATTATGTAAAATACTGTGTTAGGTGTTGGTTCAATAGATTATATGTAGGGCTGTCAAACGATTAATTTTTGTTTGTTGATTAATGATGAGTTAACTCACGATTAATCGCATTTTTAACATTCTATTTCAAATCCACTCCAATTGAAGTTAAATGAGATTTTCAAATGTAATGACACATTATTATTCATACCAAATGTACTTAAATCTGTTTGACTTGCTCACAACCTTCTACTTTTGGGTACAACCAACGAGAGCTGTTAATGAAAGGAAAAATGTAGGTACCCCAGCTTTAATTTTGCGAGTTTGGTTGCATTTCAGCGTGTCTCCTCCTCTCCTCCATCATCAGAGAACATCAGAGAATGGCCCCTGTGCGTATATATATGTGTGTATTATATGACCACGTTACCGCTGTCACCATCACACACACGCACGTGTCCGTGGCATTCTGAGTGATATTATTATAAATGGGCCGGTCATTCGGACCTGCGATTGACTGCCAGCCTATTTCAGAACAGGTACCCACAGAATATTGTGTACAATGACTATCTGAAATCCAAAACCAGATTCTGAAAGAATAGACTGTCTACTTTCACCAGCAAAAATAATTTTGTTTCTAGCTTGTTTCGTTCCCCTGTAATCCCCAGTCGAGTAGAGGTAAGTTTTATTGAAATCACCAGAAAGCTGAGAAAAAAGAGGCACTTTTCATAGAGCATAGAGCATAGAGCAATGCTGCCATCTGCTGGCTTGATAAAATATTGCCTCAAGCCTTACATATTTGATACAACAGACATCTGGGAACGTGAAAATAGCGTGTTAACACGTCAATGGCAGTTAATGCGTCAATTATTTTTTAACGCGTTAATGAAAACGGTAATTAACGTGAATTAACGCGATAATTTTGACAGCCCTAATTATATGCAATTGTTTTTATATGTTTTGATAAACATTGAACCAGTCCGGCCGTCGGCTTGTAGCTAATTTGTTATTTTTGGCCTCAGATGTCTTTGACTTTGACATTTGTGGTCTAACCCTCTATAAGAAGTGTTGAAGAAATTAATTGACCTCGAAATGTGTGTTTTCCGTGTCTGTGTTTTCTGCTATAACTATGATTTAGAAACGTCACTGTGTTTTATTCCAAACAGATGCAATTGCTGAAGTCACAGCTCGAGGTAAATATGTTCTTTACATTGACTTTGTCTTATCAATTTGTATTTTTCACAATGATTTTGTTTTAGGAGCAAAACCAGAGTTAACTCTTATTAAATCAGAGGAGGTGGTTTTTGTGACCTGCACACTGCCTTCTTCCTCTTCATCTGAGTCCAAATGTCACCTGTATTTTGGAGACACACAGTCGTATTCAACCAAAACATCACGGTCCAGGGACAGAAAAGGACGATGGTTTTGCATGTTTTTTATTCCTGATGAGGAGTTTTTGACACATTTCCATAAAGTCCAGAGTAAAGTCCTCAGCTGTGACTCCTCTCAGGATCCTCGCAGTGAACCGTACGACTTGGCTGGTAACATTAGAAACACATGGATACACTGATAAAGAATGTGTATTTTCCTTTAACGACATGTTTTGTTTTGAAGGATTCATGAGAAAATATTTCCAAATTCACATCGACACCACAACAGTGAAGACCCCAGACTCAGTGAAGACTCCAGACTCAGTGAAGACCACAGACTCAGTGAAGACCACAGACTCAGGGAAGACCCCAGACTCAGTGAAGACCCCAGACTCAGTGAAGACCCCAGACTCAGTGAGGACCACAAACTCAGTGAAGACCACAGACTCAGTGAAGACCACAGACTCAGGGAAGACCACAGACTCAGGGAAGACCCCAGACTCAGTGAAGACCACAGACTCAGTGAGGACCACAAACTCAGTGAAGACCACAGACTCAGTGAGGACCACACACTCAGTGAAGACCACAGACTCAGTGAAGACCCCAGACTCAGTGAGGACCACAGACTCAGTGAAGACCACAGACTCAGTGAGGACCACAGACTCAGTGAAGACCACAGACTCAGTGAAGACCACAGACACAACTGATCGGGAAAGAGGTTTTTATTCACTCAAACAGTCAAACACTAACTGAAAATGATGGTAAAGTCCACATAAGTACACATAGGTACATACAGCAGGGACCAAAAGTTTGGACATACCTTCTCTTTCAAAGAGTTTTTTTATTTTCACGTTTATGACAATTGTAGATTCACACTGAATGCATCAAAACTATGAATTAACTCATGTGAAATTATGTAACTGCAACAAAAAATGTTTTAAAAAACTGAAAATATGTGTTATATTCTGGTTCTTCAAAGTAACACCTTTTGCTCTGATACTGCTTCACTCTTGGCATTCTCTAGATGAGCTTCAAGAGGACCTGAAATGGTCTTCAACAGTCTTGAAGGAGTTCCCATGATGCTTAGCACTTGTTGGCCCTTTCTCTGTGGTCCAGCTCACCCCAAAACCATCTGGACTGGGTTCAGGTCCGGTGACTGTGGAGGTCATGTGGTCAAACAGCCCTTACACAGCCTGGTGTGGATCTACAGCCAATAGGCCTGAAAAGAAAGGAACCTCATTGAATGAGAAAGTGTGTCCAAACTTTTGGTCTGTACTGTAAGTACACATAGGTACACATAAGTACACATAAACTACTACGTTCAAAGTTTGGGGTCACATTGAAATGTCCATATTTTTGAAGGAAAATCTGTAGATAATTTTAAACTAGTCTAAACTATAAAGAAATACACTCTATACATGGCTTATGTGGTAAATGACTATTCTAGCTGCAAATGTCTGGTTTTTGGTGCAATGTTGTAATTGCTGCAAATGGAGGATTCTTTGACGAAAGCAAAGTTTGATGTAAAACAAATCTTATTTCAAATACAAATCATTATTTCTAACCTTGTCAATGTCTTGACTCTATTTTCTATTCATTTCACAACGTGTGGTGGTGAATACATTGTGGGCGACAGTAGCTCAGTTGGTAGAGCATTGGCCTTCAGGCCTGAAGGTGGTGGGTTCAATTCCCACCTCTACACCTTCTCCACCGACTCCCACTGATGACTGCTGTCGTTGTGTCCTTGGGCAAGACACTTAACCCCACTTTGCCCAAAGCCCCCACTGAAAGATCAAGGCTATGCTCACACTCAGAGAGCAGCCGTCCTCCTGTGGACTCACCACCTGCAGAGGGTCAGTGAGGGGCTGGTGCTATGAGACTTGGGTGGCATCTCTGACTGCCACCCCCCTGACCCAGAAATGGATTAAAGGGTAGAAAATGGATGGATGGTGGTGAATAAGTGTGACTTTTCATGGAAAACACTTGGGTGACCCCAAACTTTTGAACGGTAGTGTAGGTACTGTTGTATCTTCTCATGAAGGGGTTTCCCGCACAAAACCAGTATAGTTGTTGGAGAAGGAATGCACTGAATTATGTATTAAAGAAAGTTTAATGACATAATCAGAATACATCGAATCCAATTTCAGGCTTAGCTTCTCAGCCCGGGTCAGCTCAGAGATGGCATGACTGACTGACTGACCCCGAACACAAAGAGGACTAGGATATTATAGTCTAGTTGAAGACGTCATAAGACACAGTCACAAGATCCAGAAAGAGCAAACCATACATTTAAGGACAGCCATGTGCATTGTCCTAGTGTTGCTGACACGTCTGCCTCACACGTCTGCCTCATGATCAGCAGCTGATCATTAGAGTCAGCTGCTTCTACCATTTTGGCCATAACATGCTTGTATATTCGTTGATGTTGTTTATTAGCGGTCTACGTCATATTCACCATCTGGTGTTACGTCTAGCTGGCAGTGGTGCACTTATGGTATTTAGTTGGTCCGGTACTCCGTGCAGGGTGGTGGTGTGACCACATTATACACACTTACGATGTGGTGGGTGGGGTTTTTTTTGGCGAGATGAGACCCTTATGTCTGTTGTGGTTGGCGGGAGGGATTTGGGGGGTGAGGTGTACGGACTTCTTTAGGGGCTCTTAACTGGGACGGGGAGCTCAAATGACATGTATGTTGCGTCAAGTGGGGGGGAGGGGTGTTTTGCCTATGGATTTTTTGGTGGAAGATGGGTAGAACATATTGAAGATTATATTGCTTAGGATGTGGTTACAGTTCTCAGAGTACTAAGAAAGGGGTTTTTATTGGTTTGGTTGTTGTCTAGTGCCTACGCGGTGGGTGGGATACGGCCTGGTATAATTAATGGGAGTTTGGGATTTCGGGGGGAAATGGTCTGTGCACTCAATATTTCACTGTCTGGCTACTTTGTTTTTTTATGGTTTCTTTTTCGTTCAATTTGGTTGCTTTATGTTGTTGACACTGTTGTCCCCTACATCGGAATCAATCATTGGCATTTTGATATTAAATTAACTTTTATTTGTTGTGTTGAGACATCTTTTGGAGGTTGTCATTTTAAGAAGGGGGCAGGAGGAGGGGGTGCGAAGCACCAGTCTCTCTGTTGAATCCAGTTTCTGAATCAGAAGGCTATTTTAAACACCCTGATTGTTCTTCAATTGTCCATATAGGTCCTGGTCCTGGGTCATTATCCATTTAATCCATAACCATGATATCCTCCTGAAATGCATAGAAAAAAAAGCCTACCAGTATTCTGGAACTCCATCTCAAAATATTTCATATGAGCATTAATATATAATAGATTTGATAAGAGGGTATTTAAAATTAGATTTGTATGTTTTTTTACGGGGGGTAGTTTGTAGGTTTTGATTTTTATAGTGGTTTTGTTTATGTTATATAACTTTCTTGTTTGATTCGTTTTGGTTTGGTATTGGGTTTTTTTCTGGGGGTTGACAGGGGGATTCAACACCCTTCTGTTCTCTAGCAGTGAACTATGTACATGTCCTAGGGTCCCATGTGTATATTGAGGTTCGAGGGTTGGACATTGTTTGTCTATTATTGGTGTTAACCGCTGGTGGCAATATTTGTGCAGTCTGTTTTTGTCCAAAGAGTCCTTGAAATGCTGGTCATGATTGTCATTTTAGTCTCAATCTTATATATCTTAATATATTGTCAATATGGGTAATTATTGTTTTGCCACACTTTCACCTGAGTCCCTAAGCTCCATGCTCAGATTATCACCTCCTTGTCAGTCTAAATTTAATCAACTGTGTTATGTTTCAACTCGTGTTTAAAGAATAAAAAGGCTAATCCCAAAGGTATCGATTTGGTTTTTATCCAATATTGTTATTCAGTTTATATACTTCATTCCATGTGACGTTTTTTAATTCTCATTTGTATTTATACACTGTATAATGATATTTAGTCAACCTTAGTCACATAGTGTCATAAGTCTAAATGGCCAATAATCCAGATCATTTTATTTTAACCAAGAAAAGGCAAAAGTCTAATCAGTCATTGTCACCTTAAATTGCTCCAGTAATCTATCATTAATCCAATCAAGAGGCCTTCTGAGTATGATCACATTCAGGGCATCTGTAAATACTTCTAATGTGATTTTACTGATAAATTAAAAGTTTAAAAGTCCTGCAGTGTCTCCTTTGAAGTCACTCTACTCTTGTATCAGTCTCTTATGTAAAGTCTACTTAGATGATTTCGTAAGTTAATTTAATTATCTTCGCATGGGGGTCCCAGGCTATGTTGGCGTGGGTAGATTGAGTGGGTGAAGGTTCGCACTTCTATTGGTTCGTCTATTTTTAGTGTGCGTCGGGCTGACATGTTGGGGTTGTGTCGATGACTCTCATCTGGTTTACTCCAGTTATGATGATGTGGGTTCATTTGTGAAACGAGGGAGGGGTAAAGGTGGGTACGGGATTATTTTGTGGGGACCGGAATACTCAATGAGGGTGGTGAAGTTTGGTTGGGGGGATGTGAAGGGGGTGATGTGATTTTATGCGTAGATGTAGGTTGGGTGGAGTGGTAGGGTGGTAGACTAGTGGGCTGATAGGATTGTGGAACGGGGTGGGTTGAGGTATGTATGGGTCGATAGATAGTGAGTAGGCTAGTGTTGATTGTTGTTATTAATGTCGTTTGGGTGTTGGCCTCGAACTTGACTGGGTCCGGTCTTGGTGCTCAATTTGTTTTTGGAGTCGTGTTTTGGGGTGGGTCACTTTGAGTTTAAGTGGTGAGCTTGGGGGGTGAGGTGATGAGTATTTCCTAGGCAAGGGAATTGTTGGGTACTCGGGTACATCATTTTCGAGGACAATTTAGGGGTGTATGTAGCGGGAGGTGGAGAGTTCTTGTGGGGGTGATGAGCTGGGATGTGTGGGCTATGTTTGAGGATGAATTTACCATGGTGGGTGTTGGTGGATATTTTTTATCGGGCATTTTTACGGGGACACACTTTGGTGGTGGGGGTTATATTGATCCGGGCTGGAAGGGTCTTTATGTGGTTTGGTTTCCGGGTGTGTGTTAAGGCTGGGGTTGCAATTGTTGGTGGGAGTGTACGATGGGATTCGGTTGGTGGCACCTTGGTGGGCTTGGGGGTGGGGCTTGGCGGTGAGGGCTGAGGCACGGAGTGGGGTAGAGCAGGATTTCACGGATATCCTACATTATTTAATACCAATTTATATGGACATTCTCTTTGAGTGGTGGGGTTCGCATTTAACGGTTGACCTTTCGAACAGCAGGATGTTGCAAATGAATGTTACTTATTACTTCTCCAGATCGTTCCAAACGCACCTTGTTTTGTTACATTTACACTCATACTCTGAAAATGGAGGCAGATACAGTAAATCATTCAAAAATAATCTAGAAACTTTATTT